TCCTGCATTAATACCAATACATTCGGCCTATTATTCAGGTTAGGCAGCAAAGACGTTTCGTCAGCTGAACAAATCAATGCACTGAACGCACTATATCCCTCAGCCTCGTTTTCATTTCCGTCTAAACTTAAATATAGTGCTTCCCTGACTGCCTATTGCTATAGCTAATGGTTTGAGCACAAAATAAGGAGACAGAACATTGAACTTAAACATAGCAATATAACCCAGCTGATGAGTCTCCAATCGCTTTCCCATTTTTTAACAGATATTGTATAGTTCAATCCCTTGTCAAACTGTATCTGTGATACCACTGAAAGCAGTGACAGTGGATCTGGTTTCTTCTCAAACTCCTCTCTTCGTTATTATAAGAGTCAGTCTGTAGGCCTGTTAAGTATTCATATCTGGCTGCTGCAATAACTACTTTCCTGCATCCAGGTTATAGAAAAATTCATTGCATTTGGTGAGATAAACTTTAATGTCCATTCTATATGCATGTGCAATAAATATGCATGCAGCAGCAACCACACAAGGTGACACAAGCTGAACATACCTAAACAAATTGTACAAGTTGCATGTTACTGTAGATTATGTGAAATAAGCACAACCTCGAAAATGCCAAGAAGGCATTCTCTCAAAATAGTCATTTTTATATTATACACAACAACTAGTTCCGGTCCCCGAATTTTAAAATGGTCAAATAGCTTTTCAAGTGTGCTTACATACAGGTTACACTGTTACGGCAAGACTTTATGAACAAGTCACCGAATCATTCATTCAGTCGGTTCATTCAAAAACACAAATTCTGGAATAGCATACTAGTATACTTCCTATTTCTCTAATATATTTTTATGACAGAAATAGTGGTAGTAATATTAGCCTTTAGTAAAGAATGGGTCATTGAATCATCCACGCAAACAATTAATAAAAAACAAAAAAACATTTAATTTAGGAACAAAACAACAAGTATGTTGCTTGGAGGCATGCTACGATTCTGCTGTGGTGGAGCAAAAACAAACAAAGGAATATTTCAGCCAAAAATTCTATTAGCTATTAGAATAGCTAATAGACAGTCATTTTAGTAATAGCTAAAAGCTATTAATTACTCACGCTCATGCCGTTCTAACCCACAAGACCTTCACTCATCTTCGGAACACAAATTAAGATCTTTTTGATGAAATCCGAGAGCTTTCTGATCATCTATATACAGCAATGCGACTACAATGTGCAAGGCCCTGAAAAGTAGTAAGGACAACGTTAAAATAGTCCATATGGCATCAGTGGTTCAACCGTCATTTTCTGAAGCTACGAAATACTTTTTGTGCACCAAAGAAAACCAAAATAACAATTTTATTCAACAATTTCACATATGTCGTGGTACTGTCGTGAATGTGCATCGAAGACTGACACAGAAGAGAAGAAATTGTTTAAGTTATTTTTGTTTTCTTTGCACACAAAAAGTATTCTCGTAGCTTCATAAAATTACGGTTGAACCACTGATGTCACATGGACTATCTTAACGATGTCCTTACTACCTTTCTGAGCTTTGAACGTGTCAGTTGCGTTGCTGTCTATGCAGGGTCAGAAAGCTCTCAGATTCCATCAAAAATATCTTAATTTGTGTTTCGAAAATTAACAAAGGTCTTACGGGTTTGGAACGACATGAGGGTGAGTAATTAATGACAGAATTTTCATTTTTGGGAGAACTATCCCTTTAATTGGCATGAAATGTAAGTCCAAACTACAACCCCAATTCCAGAAAAGTTGGGACATTTTGTAAAATGCAATAAAATCAAGAATCTGTGATTTGTTCATTCTCTTTAACTTTTATTTAATGGGCAAAAGTACAAAGAAAAAATTTCCAAAGTTTTCACTGGCCAACGTAAATTTATTTTGTAAATATAAACAAATTTTGATTTTGATGGCTGCAACACACTCCAAAAAAGTTGGGACAGAGGCAAAATAAAAGTGAAAACGTTATAGAATAGCCACGTTAAACTGTTTTGAAACAGTTCACAGAAACCAGGTGAATTGGTAATAGGTCAGGGTATCATGTTTGGGTATAAAAGGAGCATCTCAATCTTTGCAAGCAAAGCTGGATCCTGGCTCATCACTTTGTGCCAAATTTCATGAGAAACGTGTCAAACAAATCAAAAATCACATTTCGCAATGCAAAATTGCAAAGAATTTACGTCTTTCACCAACTTCCACACGTAATTTTGTGAAAAGATTCAAGGAATCCAGAGAAATCACATATGTAGGGCAAGGCACAAAACCTCAGTTGAATGTGCTTGACCGTTGAGCCCTCAGATGGCATTGTATAAGAAACCGTCATGCTGCGGTGTTAAATATAGCCACATGGGTTCAGGAGTACTTCAGAAAACTGCTGTCACTTAACAGTTTGCTGCTGGATCAAGAAATGCAACTTGAATCTCTGTTACTCTAGGAGAAAGCTATACATCCATTCTAAGCAGTGATGCCGCCGGGTTATCTGGGCCAGAGCTCATCTCAGATAGTCAAAAAGAAGGTGGAAATGTGTGCTGTGCTCAGATGAGTCCACATTTCAACTTGTTTCCGGGGAAAATGGATTTCGAGTTCTCAGTCCCAAAGACCAAAGGGACCGTCCAGACTTTCATCAGTGACAGATACAAAAGCAAACATCTGTCATGGTATGGGGCTGCAGCAGAGCAAGCGGCATGGGTGACTGGAATATGTGCGAAGGTACTATTGACATGGAGGCATATATTGGAATTGTACAGAGAAATATACTGCCATCAAGATGATGTCTTTCATGGGAAGTCCATGGTTATTAGATCAAGACAATGCCAGCTCTCATTCTGCATGTGCTACAACAGCGTGGTTTCGTAGACTGAGTGAATGTGCTAGACTGATCTGATTCCTATTGAAAATATATGACCAGTCATGAAAAGGAGAATCAGACAACGACAACCACAGACCGCTGAGCATCTGAAATCTTTTATCAAGCGAGATTGGACAAAAATGTAGCTTGCAAAACTTTAACAATTAGTATCCTCAATTCCCAAACAATGAAACTGTAATTAAAAGGAAAGTTGTGACACAGTGTTAAACGTGCCTCTGTCCAAACTTCTTTGGAGTGTGTTGCAGCCATCAAAATCAAAATTTGTTTATATTTACCAAATAAAATGAAGTTGGTCAGTAAAAACATTGGACATTTTTTCTTTGTACTTTAATCAATTAAATAAACTTTAAAGAGAATGAACAGATAACATATTCTTGATTTTATGGCATTTCACAAAATGTCCCAACTTTTCTGGAATTGGGGTTGTATAAGTGACTCAATATTCATGTAAAAGCTGTTAATAGAACAATGTAAATGTAAATACTTATGTAATGATGTAAATAGAACAATGAAAAATCCTCACAATTGTGCTGTTTTTCAAAAGGTTTCAATACAAACGTCAAGCATACATTCAGAACGTTCATTTTAACGTAATTTATTCATACGTTCAAAAGAAGTGACTTGTGTCTAATAAAAGGGACATGACAGACTACATTCAGTGAGGAGGGGCAATGAGTCTGGGCAGCCTGCCAGAGATCAGCACAAACAAACTACACATGCAATGCCACTGGCCTGATGGCCTCACCCTTATTTCTTCAAAACCTCATGACATCTGCAGGATCTGTTCATACTAGCCTACAAAGATTGCACTGCATATATGATTACACAGTAACACAGTATAGGAGGTTGCCTCTTCCAATAATTTAACCCATGTTGTAATTGGGCCTCTTGTAACTGTTATGAACACCAGAAAAGTTTTTACAGTTTATATTTCCCAGCTTAAGCTGTTTAATGAATTTATTTTCTTTGTTGAGTCAAGGGGAAAATGTCTGGAAATAAAAAGGACAAAAAACAAACCACAAAGATGAAGAGGAAACAGGTTGTTGAAAAACTGTGTGCTTCCTTTCCTGACTGGCTTCCTATTCCTGAGGATAGTGTGCGTCTGACTGTGAGCTGGCAGGGTCAACAGCAGTGACTGAGCTCCTTTGACTTGCACAGACCAGTCAACCTCATAAAAAGACATCTTATTTCCTCTGAGAGTTTGCTAGTGAGCCAAACAAATTTGGTCCCTCTACACTACATGTCTCTGAACAGATTTTATATTAACTGTAAACCACAGTGATTACACAGTGATTGATGCTTACAGTAATGTGTTAGTGATACAGGAAAAACATTGCTAAAAGATGATGCACATGATTACTTTTCACTTAGCCTATATCCTGCAACTTATTTAACATACAAAAGTAAAAGCTCTACCAAATAAAAATAAAACAACAATTTCACAATTTAAAGATTATTTAACAGTATAAGAGTTCACCCAAAAATAAAATTTCGCTGAAAATATACTCACTTTCAGGCTGTCCAACATGAGTTTGTTTCTGAATCTGAACAGAGTGGAGAAATTCACATTACTTCTGCAGTGAATGGGTGCCATCAGAATGAGAGTCCAAACAAAAACATTACAATAATTCACAAGTAATTCACAAAAAAATCCACGAATTAATATCTTGTGAAGTGAAAGGCTGCTCGTTTTTTAATGTAAAACCTTTGCTTCCAGCTAACAAATGAGCTCTCTATCCATAATATTGCTTTCTCCAGTGAAAGAGTCATCTTATCTGAATCAGGAGAGAAATATGCACAGATCAAGCAGTCCAAGGTGCTTTTCGGATGGCTTGAGGGTGATTAAACTGTCAGCTAATTTCAATTTCTGGGTGATCTATTCCTCTAAATGAAAATCGCACACTGGTTTGCAAAGTTATATGTAAAACAAATAAGTAAACACACATAAATGCATTTGTATAATCTTTATTTGACTAATTTATTCATTTAATTCAATTTTATACATTTGTTAACTAATTTACTAATTTAACTAATTTATGTTTATTTAACATAGAGAACAAACACAAAAAAATGCATTGTTGAAAAAGTACTTGGGAACCATTTTAAAATCCACACGTAATGAGTGGAAGAGCAAAAACAGCTACCACCACAGTTTTTGCTAGCAGGCGCTTTCTTTCGGAGACTCGAGCAGCCTTTCTTGAGTCAGAGCGAAAACTTGCCTGCGTTTGTTTCGTCTGACAGCGGGACGTTTTGCTAGGATCTAGAAACAATCGTGTCGTGGCAATCGCACACCCATTGAAACTATGTAGAGATGGAGTTCATGAAACTGATCGGAACTGTTTTGGCAGTTTGTTTCCATCCCTGCTGCGCATCAAGCGCGTTCGCTGGTGAGTTTGTGCTTGTTTATGTAAAATGTCGGTTCACACACGGTCATATTCAAATTATCTTACTCCGATTTTTTATGCTTCTTAAATACTCAATATTCAATAATACGATAGTATCGGGTGAGAGACTGTGCAGTATTTTAAATAAAGATTTCTGAAGCTTTTGTTGTGCAGAAGCTTATTTAACGAATATACACGTCTGGTGATGATGCAACACACGTTTAACCAAAGAGTTCTCTTTATGTACAGTGGTGTGTTTATGTACAGTTTTCGGGTTTTATATTTGGGTCACAGCTGTTTTTTTAGTCAGGGAGGATATGGCTGATGGCTGTCGCACACATGACTTTGCTTGAGAGGATTTTCCGCCTGACAGTTTGTGGAAGTTCTCCTGGTTTCTTCCTCTGTTTGCTCGTATAGCCTATGTCCCTGTGCCAACTTTCCTATAACGGTTCTTACGATATTTCCATAATAGTATACCTACTTTAGGTTCAACACTAACATCAGGGCTTTGTGGTGATGTGGTTTGCAGATCACAGGATATGCCGGAGAGGGACAGAGAAGCCCTGCTATAAGATCACAAGCTTCCAGGACAGCAGGCTCAGAGCAAGCTTTGAGGCAGCCAGACAGAAATGTAGGGAGGATGACGGAGAGCTGCTCAGCATTGAGACTGAGAATGAGCAGCGTCTGGTGGAGAGATTTGTTCAGGAGCTCAGAGCCTCTGATGGAGACTTCTGGATTGGGCTAAGAAGAAGCCCACGATATAATGCTGATTGTTCATCACAGTATTACTGGTTGGATTACAGTCAGGCCACATTCAGGTAGGATATTCGCAGTAATAACATCCTGAAATATTCTGACAACTGATTGAATGTTTTTATTATTATTATTATTATTATTACTGTTGTTGTTTCTTTTTTTTTGCAAGTTTGTTTTTAAAGGGATATTTAAAAAAAAATGTGGTCATCATTTCCTCATCCTCATGTCATTCCTGTGACTTCTTTTCTTCACAAAAAGGCCACAAAAACCTCATAAAAGAGGTCTACATACCAGTGTTGCTATTGTTAATTAAAACTAAAACACCATACTACCAAAATAGTTTTTGGTAATTGAAATAAAGCTGAAATAAAATAAAATATGCATATATAATAAAATATACACAAATTAGATATGTCACCTTGGCAAGTAACTGAAATAAATAAGTTGTAGTATTAAAATTAATAACATGGAAATAAAAAATTAAAGCTATAGAAATATTTTTTTTACATTTCAAAAGCACATAAAATTACTAAAACTTAAAATGAAATTGTAAATGTAAAAATAAAAGCTATTTGAAAAAAAAAACACTATAATAGTATATAAATATAATTCTGTATTCTATTAATGTATTCTGTATTTTAAGCCTCCTGGATCATGATGGTGAGTAAGTGATGACAGAATTTTCATTTTTGCTGATCTGTTCCTTTCAGTGAAAGCAAAATTCTAAAATGTAATATAGAATAGAAATATTTTAAAAATTACAAAAGCACAACAAAATTACTAAAACTTAAGCTACAATTACAATGAAAGCTGACAGTGTAAAGATAAAAGCTAATTGAAAATAAAGCTAAATACTATATTATACAAATAATATTCTTTTTTTAATTAATGTATTCTATATTCTAAGTCTTCTGAATCACGAAGGTAAGTAAATGATGACAGAATTTTCATTTAATAATAATTTATGCATTTAGCAGATGCTTTTATCCAAAGCGACTTACAGTGCATTCAGGCTATACATTACCAGTATGTGTGTTCCCTGGGAATCGAACCCACGACCTTTTGCACTGCTAACGCAATGCTCTACCACTGAGCCACAGGAACATAAAGGAACATTTCTTGGTGAACTATCACTTTTAGGGGAAAGCAAAATAGTAAATGTGATATAGAATTTTCAGTGAGTCTGTTGTGTTTCCAGGAACTGGCTGGTGACAGAGCCCTCGTGTGGCCTTGATCAGTGTGTGGCATTATTCTACAAGCCCTCATCTTCTGCTGGCCAGAAGGAGCACAACCTGTTCAAGTGGACTGACTACAACTGCAATTCCAAGAATAATTTCATCTGCAAGTACTCAGACGGTAGGCTTTTGCTTATGTTAATCTTAGCTGTCACATTTAGATATTTAATAGGCAACATATCTGAGATAAGCATCTTTAGTGTAAACATATTATGTAAGAGGACTTCAAATGTAAACTGTGCCGCCTCCTGTATGTGTTTAGAGAAGCATCCTGTCCCCACTCCAGCAGGAAATATCACTACACTCACAGGTAAACAAATCCTTAAGCTTGATCTGCTGCGTTTGCTACTTTTTTCTGACACAATAATGGTACTAATAATCTTCTGTTTTACTTATTAATATATAGTATATTAATAGCCCACATAACTTGAAGATTAAAGGGAAAGTTCCCCCCAAAAGTGTAAATTGTCTTATTTTTACCAGTGTTATTATCATTAACTAAAACTAAAACTATTTAAAATCCTTTTCAGTAATTGAAATGAATATGAAATAAAATAAATATTAGATGAAAAGCTTAAAGAAAAATTAGAAATGCTGCCTCGGTAAAATGAGAGAAATAAGTTGAAGTACTAAAATTACTAAAAATAAAACTGATATAAAACTAAAGCTAAATAGAAATGATTAAAAAAAAATCAATAGACAAAAGCATCAAATTAAAAAGACAAAAGCTTAAATTTTTTAAAATTAAGGTCATTCAAAATAGTAATACATAATATAATAGTATATAAATAATACTAAAATAATACAAATACTAAAATAATACTCTCCCGTTCAATTTAATTAAATGGAAAAACAATAACATTCTGCTAAAATTCTTTGGTTTATTCTTTTTTCTCTAAAATTATATAGGTTTAATAGGACAAGAGGATGTGTAAATCATTTTAATTTTGGGGTGATTTATTAGTTTAAAAAGATAAATAATAATGCTTATGATGACCTCTAGTGGTGGAAGTGGAATTATACTTTTGCTCACAGTAGTCAAGCTCAAAATCCATAATAGGTCAATCATCAAGGCCAAACACCCTAAATGCTTATTCATCATTCACAGTGATTCTTGTTTTTAGGTACTGATGACCTGACTCTGGTGCCAAAGCAGCCGCCCATTACAGTGGACAATGACAGGATAAAAACTGAGCTCTCTGAGTCATCAGGTATTCTTTAGAAAAGAATAGTCAATTGAATATTGGTTGAATCTATCCATCTATTTGTATATGTGTGATTATCTTCTGGATATTACATTTTTTAGTAATTATGGACTTTATCTTAGTTTCTATTTCAGATGACACTAATATTTACTACATCCTCCTCGCCACTCTACCTGTAATGCTGCTGTTGATATTGGTGGTGTCGGGGGTGTTCTGTTTCAGAGTCATGTCCAGGAGGTGTGTAACGCACTGCAAACATTTTTATCATTTCTTAGTTTGTTATTCTCTATGAGCTATTTTGTCTGTCAGCCTGCCATATAATATACTCTCTGACTGTGTCTTTGCAGGAGAAAAGAACAGAATGAAATCTATGCCGTGCCAGGACAGTGGGTGCGTCCAGTAGCTCCCAAAAGTCAGAATGATTATAAGCACACCAACAAATTCAACCAGTCTGGAGCTCATCTGGAGTACATGAGCTCTGAAATTAACCGAACATTTAGTGTGACGTCCACAATCAGTCAGTTTGAGGACTACGAGAACGTCCCGAGCCGCCCCACACAGTGCGGTTTTGTCACAAATGACATCTACGAGACCTGCCGGAGCTCCTCGGTGGTAGAGGCTGGATGGGTGGACAATGACATCTATGGATACTAAAACACTGTACAGTGTGTATACTGACTGGTAGTCTCTCCCACTAGTGTGACTAGCTCTCCCACCATGTCTGCTCTTTGATGTGCACTATGTGACCTGGTGGGGAAGCCAGTGGGGGTCTAATTCAGGGGTGTACAGATTCCCATAACTGACTATACAAAGAAGCATAAAGGTGTCATCGGCTTGTGAGAGCCTCCTCTGTGGAAGCTGGCATCCTGGAACGGGACCTTCCATTTGGAAATTCACAAAACAGTGCGCTGACCTCTCAGCCCTTCAACAACATCCTTCTGTGTCTCTGAGAATGGCCTCTCTAAAGGATACCTACTGGCTTTTAAAGACTGGGTAGTTGCTTTGTAAGCTCTTTTGTGTAAAAACAGAATTAAAGGATTTGTACGTATAAAACATTATTGTAGCATATTGAATGTATTTTGCTTTTGGGTGTCAGATTATGAGCAGAAAGATAAATAATTAGTTTTTGCAGTATTTGGATTGTAAATGATATGTTGTCTGTCCTTATAAGAATAATAATAATAATATCCTTGTCAAGTTATTTGGACATTCTTAAGCACAGAATAGCTTTTAATTAATGTATTTTTGTTTAATCAACATTGTTCCCGCACTCCTGGACAACCTGGAAATGTCTTGGAAATTTAGAATCAGGCCTGGAAAGGGAGAATGTAGCCTATATTTTTATAGTGATATACATTTTTCTAGTTATGCTTAACTTATTGGTAAGTACTTGACTGCTAGAGTCTTGGAAATGGCCCGACCTTGATGCAATTTAACCCAAAAAAATGATTTTATTTAATTGTATTTGAGAAGAAATAAACGTTTTTGAAATCTCATTCAGTGGCTTTTGTCATGCTGAGAACAGATCTCTACCTTTTCCATATCGTCAAATGTCACTGCTGCATGCTTGGAACTTCACATCGAGTTCAGATGACTCACTCATTTTCCAATCCATTCTGTTATTTCACATTTTGTACCCTTTTAGCGACTGCGTCACTGTCAATTTATTTCAAATATTTTGAGCTAAACGCGATTCTTTGGAAATGCACTATTAGTCAGCTGAGTTCCCTGAGGTCATCAGAGCTGTAGGAGCAGTGAAGTGTTTTATTAGATCTGAGTGACTGCAGTACAGCATGTGACCGTCAGATGTCGCCATATGATAGGCCACCTAAAACTGAATTACGTGCAGCTTTGAGGACATATTTGTTGCACTTATGTCATGGTGTTTAAATTACATTTTCCAATACAAATCACGCACCGCCTGTAATGCGTTTCTACGCTTACATACTCTTGATATGAATGACTTGTTTATAAAACTGTTGTATAAAATGTTGAGTACTGCACAATACTGCTCAGTTGATTCTTCAAAGACACACTAATGTTTGTACCAAAATTCTGCTTTATATGATTATGATTATGTAACTGAGCAAATATGTGCCACACCTGCTTTGATGTCTACAAGGTTGGGTTGCAAACACTTGACTTAGTGCCCTAGATGTCAAAATGTGATTATATAAAGCTGGGGTTTTCATAGGCTACTGGGGTCCAGGGACCTCCAAGAGGCCGCAAGGAGGTCCGTGGAAGTGTTTAGAGAAAAAATAATACATTAAGTTTAAATAAGTAAATATATTTAAATAAAGAAAAATACAGTCAAACCAAAATTTATTCAGACACCTTCAACATTTCTCACATTATCACAGTTTATTCACTATAGTTTAGAAAATGGTAATAAAATATGACAAGAACTCAGTTAAACTGTGTCAGAACAAATTCAGCTTGATAATTGCCATCCTTCTGTTAGACTGTCTCACAAATGGCTGTCAGCTTTTAAGTTTAAGTACACAATTAGATAATACCAACTTAGGTCAACTAATTACCAAGCAATGCTTAGTAATTTTGTTCAGTCTGTGGTGTAAAAAGGTAGCATTAGCAATTAAAGAAAAAAACACATAAGCAAAACATAGTCAGGTCAAAGTGTCTGAATAAGTTTACTGGTAGTCCACTGTATGAAGAATTTTTGAATGTAATATGTCACAGTTTACTTTATTTAGCTATCCTCACTTACATAAATGAACTAGTGTCCTGCACCCACTAGTAAAAAAAATATAAAAAATTATATCTAGTGTCTGAATAATTTATGGTTTGACTGTATATGAATGCATCTAACAGTACAGTACTGTAATAATGTAACATCAGAAACTAAATATTTTCCAAATAATATTTTTCAGAGTATAAATCTTTACGCAGAAACTAAAAATGTGCGATTATGTTTCCTTGCACGAGGATCGTCATATTTGGAAGGTCCGTGGAATCTAAAAGATACTTGCTTTTAAGAGACTATAAAGCCGGAAACAGCGAGCACGTCGCCGTCGGCTCTCATTCCTCGAATGAAGCACGAGAGACTTTATCAAAGTTGCTGGCGGCAGGCTTTCACAGCCAGCGCTCGAGCAAACACAGCGACGCTCTGGCCGTTGACGTAAGAGGGGTCTGGTCGTCTTGGAAACGAATTGGCACTGGAGTGTGGAAGCGCTTCGAAGCCCCGCCCCTTGTGCAAATACCCCCCATAGGCTCTGACGTCAATGCACGTCAACCAGAGAACATGATGCCTCCTGCAAGTCAACTCGTGTACTCTCGCAAACACAGCTGAAATATTATAGCTCTATTGTATTGAAGGAGGTGGCGTGACATATCGCCGCGCTCCTAAACGCTCCCCTGCTTCTTCTGCTGAGACTGGAGCGGACCGTCAGCGGCACGCTGGCATTTCGACACGTTTTAGCCTCTGCCGACCTCAAGTGGCAGGTCTCTATCTTCTTGCCCCAAGCCCTAGTGTTTCACTAACAGCATGGTCATGGCTGACTGTCACCAAAAGCCAGTGCTCAGGAGTCCCGTCCGAGTGGGCTTCTACGATATCGAGCGGACTCTTGGAAAGGGCAATTTCGCTGTTGTGAAACTGGCAAGACATCGTATAACCAAGACAGAGGTGAGTTGAGAATATATCAGCTGCTCAGCCCTCTAATTAACCCTTGTGCCCTGCACACAAAAACTACGAGATAGCAGTTTCAGCTGTACTCATACTGGCTTGATTGTATCATACTATTGTTGATACTAGGTATGTGAGAACTTAGTATCTTTGGGTAACAAACAACCTGTTTGTCTGAAGCGGTGTCACGTTTTTTAAGGAGCCACATGGATTTGATTTTTAGGAACGTTTTATAACTTCAAATCATGGCTGATTTTTTTGTGTTTTGAATATTTTTATGTTGTCAAAATGCAAAACACTTAAATGTTTAATTGAAATCTGTTTTTTTTCTTTCTTGTAAAATAAAATCATCAAGCCAATATCCAGATATATGAAATGTTAATAACATTAAAAACAAGAATTAGTTTGTAATATCGGTCATTTTTGTTGCTTCAGTTGTATTTTTTTGTTCATGTTCTGAAAAATCATTGTTATTATTATAAAATACCATTATTATCAGACACATATAATATGTGTTAAAAACATAAAAAAAAAAACCAATAATTCATTTTTAATACCTGAGGCATTTTTGTCACTTTCAGTTGCATTTTAGTTCAGTTCAGACCCTGGTCTGAAGTATGTTGACTACAATTAGCTGAAGCCTTTGTGCAGCTTTGCATGCACCGATAAACGCATGTCCAGCAGCCTAACGCCTCAGTTGAAATATGCAGAGTATTCCAAAAGTGCAGGGTGTCCAAAACTAGTTGTCAAAGAAAGACAAAGGCTGTGTACAATGGCAAGAAATTATGCTGGTTTAGTGCCCTTTAAATGTGGGCCATGCTGTTGTGCATTTGTGCAGTGGTTGCATAAGGGTGATTTTGTGATAATGGATGTCGTCTCATTACTAAACCTGAGCTGATGATTGTCTCGCATTCCTTGCAAAGAAACCCTGCTGAGCACTGTTTGCATGACACAAGGTTACCGTGGTCACAGAAAATGTCATAAATTATTTAAAAACATAGTTACACTTAGCTCTAAAATGTTTGTGCTTTGCGAGTGCGGTCTGCATTAAATGATTTCTAAAAATCCAAGGTATTGACCTTGGTGACATTGTGTTGCTTTGCAGTAAAGTTTTGGTTCAGGGTATTATAACAGTAGGTGCGAGCTGTAATTTACGTTTGGCCAGAGAGCTGGGTTTTTTAAGACGGTCTGCAAGTCTGCAGATGTAGAGTTTAGCATTGGAGCACTGTGTGGAATTATGCTATTTAACAGGATTATGTTGCACACAGTTGATGCATCTCTGCAATGGCTGCCTCGAGGCGGCTTCATTTCTGTGGGGATGACACTGTCTCTGCTTCCCATCAGTCTCTTGTGTTTTGTGATTTCTCTGTTCTTCCTCGGAGCTGTCTTCAGATTACACATGCTCTGGTAGCATGTGTCTTCTGCTTTGTGTATCGCCTGCATTGTTCATGGTTTCAACGGACAGTTGGATCACTGTTACTGCCAATGAGAATGACTAACCACATTCACATATGACAGCTGATTCATAGTGATGTGCTTTAATGTTTTCAGTCAGTTACCGTTATGCTTTCCAGGGGTCAACAACAAGGCTGGCCTGGGGTCAGTGTGAGACAGTTTCAGGCCGATAGACAGAACTGTCACTTGCCAAGTACATTATGTCTTTCTTGCATTGATCGCATTGTTCATGCAAATATGTTTTTATGCCTTTCAAATGTAAACATTTGGATTAATGTGAAAAAAAGATTGTTGTTGCAAAATCTGTTGATGTCACCTAGATGCTGCTTGGCAAACAAATTGTTTTGTTGAAATTGCGTGAGAAGAATAAATCTTTAAAGCATCAGTTACAATTATAAACCAATCATATATATATATATATATATATATATATATATATATATGAGCCTTTGAGTAATTTTGTA